TTTTAACTACCCTCTTAAATTCATGTCTTTTTGAATCTTAAACCTTTGATTACTAACATAGGTATTGCATTAGTTCATGTTTTTCCCATTGTAGATCCATTTCGGCCCGATGCTTTATAATATTACATTACCACTTACACATAAAGGCATATACTAAAACTATACCACATACAACTGCTTGATATATTGGTAACAGAAAGATTAAATGACTTATTCAAAAATAAAAACAAGATTATAGTTTGTTTTTTTATGTAATAAACTAATAATATTATACTTCTGTTAAGAAACAATTAGGATGACCTATTTGTTTGATTTTTCTTCGTGTTCTGTTTAAATCATTAATATCGGAAAGTTTCGGGGGAAAAAACACTTAAAACAAATATCAATGGGCTCTGTGGGTAGGAAATAAAAAATAAGACGAAAAACTTATAATATATATATATATTACTTAGTAATATTTTTATAGTGAATTAAGCTTTGAAGTACGCCAAGGAAGTACATTTAAGACAAGTTTTAAACTATTGATGTTAAAGTTGTGTTATTATGAAATGCCATATAACTTGCAGAGCTTATTCATATATATATGTAATAAACTAAGCTAAGCAACTAAGGATTTAAAAATATATAGAATAAATTACTTTGAATACGTATGTTTCAAATATAAATCCATTGATATAAAGAAGCTTCTACAGGAGTCAAAATTCACTGTTGTATTTTTAGCATCAAAACTTTATGGCAGAGTGAAAGAAATCGAAATTGTTGTTTTCTGTATTCTGTTCAGAAACATCTGACATTTATTTACTATCCACATTCCTCTGGATAATATCTGTTTTAATTTCAACATAAACACGCTTCATCAAGCATAGGAAACATCTACTGGGTCTTTAACAAACAGAAAGCTAATATTTTCATCCAGACAAATTTTGTTATAGAAAAAAACTCTTCGACAAATGGGTATCCCATCACAAGATACAAACTTCTGTACCTACAAACTTTGGTATAGAGTTTTATTTAAATTTTGTAAAATAAGTTCAGGTACTATTACTATTTTATATAATTAAAACAAGACGACCAAAATTATTTTTAGGGTTATAAAACACTAAGAAGAACTTTGAGTTGAAACTCATTTAATATGGACGTTCCGAAAAATTGTCCGACGAATTTACAATGCATACTTGATATACTAGCACAAAATACCCATGCTCCGCATGAGGTTCAAAGGTCCATTCATGCTTCAGAAAGGCCCCTATTATCCTCAATTACTTCTACAGCCACCCCAAGAGGTCTGAACTCGAACAAAAACTGCGTTAGGACACCCACTTGAGCAATGTGTTAAGATTGATCACATTACCTTGTCAGTGGGTGTATGAACACAGTTTCAGACATGGTGCCCCTCCCTCGGAATCCAGGGGGTGGGCAGAAACAGCGACCTTGAAAACCAACTCCCAAATCTCATCATACCTGGGTGACCTTCTTGGCACGTTCTAGCTCCCCCATGTCACCCCTTGATAGAGAACTATGCCATATAAATAAGGACACCCCGGGTCCATCTGCCACCTTTGATGCTGTTAGCTCCAACCGTAGGAGGGTTACCTGGACAAAAATACATAGATAAATAAAAAGTTAAACAATGCACCCCTGGAATCCAGAAGGTGGCAAGGAACACAAAATACGATATCATAATCGGGTTCTTAGACCTGAAAACCTACTCTTAGACCCCACCATATCTGGGTGCCCTGCAGGAAGCTCCATAACTATGGGAAGAGCTAACTGAACATACATATATACATCAAAAGCTACAAGTTGAATTAACATAGGATCCAAGTGAACTTGCATGCTACTTTGTGATATCACGTGGAGATTTAAAAGAAAATTTGGTTATTTAGTTTTCTTGCTGTAATGGCTGCAATACACGGTTCAGAAAGTCGCTGAGTTGACCTTGTTCTAGTTCTAGAACCTAGAAAAATCTTCAAGTTGATGAAACATGCACGAAGTAAGATCGTAAATTCGTTGGAAAAGATAGAACAGTGGAAAAATGAAGAATTAAATGAAAACAAAGAAGAAAGAGACCGAAAATTCAAGGAATACCAAGAAGAAAAATACAGAAAAATTAAAGAACACCAAGAAGTAAGACCTGATGATGACAAAACCTTGTCGAAACGTTGTACATTTGCTGTCATGTTAAGCTTATATTAAAGTTTTTCTTCATTACCCATTTAAGCCGTCTCCAGCCATTATTAGTCTCAAAGTGGGTTCCTCGTCATCGAAACATTTAAGCCGTCTCCAGCCATTATTTTTGAATTAGGTTTGAAGGGTGATTTCAGAGAGAATTTGGTACCACATTATTTCTTTATGGAAGTGCTCTACTATACAACACTGCTACATTATTTTAACAGAAATTTTAAGTGCCTCATGCTTACAAAAATATTATTTATTCTAAGCTAATCTACTCTAAATGATCGAGCTTTGATAGCTAAAAACAATACTTCCTATTTTTTCTCGCGAATCTATTAAAGAAGACAAAAGTCCAACTGAAAAGAATGTTCCTTGTGCATTGTAAGCTTAAAAGCATAGTTATTCACGCTGATTGTGACGATATTGTCGGAAAGTCCATATTGTTAGCTTGCATTTGACACTACTGGTAGCTAGATACAAATTGTTACAAACGTATGTTTATTATTTTTGAACGGTATTTCTGCTAAAAGTCCTAAGCAGGGTCAGTTCACGAGTTTGTCAATCCTCAGTCTATAGTCATGCAAAGGAAGAGCATCAAAATAATAAAGAAATCGGAATTGTGTTTTATTTATATTTGCAAAATATGTGTTATTTCCTGCCATTTTTTGAAGGACAGCATGATTTAATTTTTTACATTAATTTCAATACTTAGAATATTTTACTACTTTGTAAAGCCAGGGTTTTTACTCTTTTTCCACAAAGAACAAATAATTCTGAGAAACATTTTAATAGTGACTTAAGCTTACACTTTTGTTCTTTTCTCCTCGAAGAAAGTTAGAAATTAGAAATATATTTTTGTGTCTGTCAGCACTTTGACTAAAACTTCCAAGTCTTAGTATCTGTATCAGCAGTTTCATGAAATTTCTATGTCTTTTATATAAGCATTAAACCAATAGTGTGTTTGTTGGTTTACGTGACGTCATGAGCAGCAGCATCAGATCCAAGTCTCATGCTGTAAATTACGTGGTTTGAAGAGCCTAAAAACCTCTTAATTCGATATTTTGTCATAAAAACCGGTACAACATCGACATCCTCTGAGTAATGGCTTAAAAAAGAGCTAATATATTTGAATAAAGAGCAGAAAAGACAGGATCAGCAACTTAACATCTGCTACAGCTGGCCTGTCTCTTAAATTGTGTAAAACTTGGACTGCTTTTAAAGCTTTTTTTCCACATACTTGACGAAAACAATAAAATTAGTGCTTTTTAGTAATGAATTTAAAACGTTAATCAAAACTGTAATTTTAGAAGTGTACACAGTATCTTGAACCATTAGCAACCACTAAGGTTTTTTATGGACTTGGTACGTTAATTAATGGAGGTTAGATTTCAAATTGGTCGAATCTCATAAAAATTATCATCTTTTATATGCGGGAACATCTGTTAGCTGAGTTCTTACACAGATCTTAAAATCTAACGTTGATAAACGGAAACATCGGCACATGTAGAT